AAAAAAAGAAACAGTTCAGTGTCTCAGTTCTGATACCTACTAAGATAAACATTAAAATTAAACTTATTAAGATAAATTTAATAAATTTTCATTGACTCCCCGACCCCACTCGCAATGAAAATTCTGTTGTTCGCTGAACAATTGGCCACCTCTAAGTTCAGGAAAAAATGGGTGAGGAAATAGCACCATTCTTATGGTTTGAGGTGATCTTGTTATCAGTTCTGTGTCCTTCCAAAGGCTCACAATGGAGGGAAAATAAATGAAAGCAAAAAGACATAGTGGGATGATGACAGCAGGCAAAAGATTGGCAGGATAAACAACACAAAAGAGCCTTCTGGATTTTACCTTTTCAGAAAAACTCAGCAGAGAGTTGAAGGCAAGATCATAAGAATTAATGAAACGATTGTTAGACTGAGGGAAGTCTACCAGCAAGGTTTCCTGGTCTTGCATCAGTTTTAATGTGTGGTATTTTTGAGGAAGGCTGGCCCTTTGTGCAGAGCTCATGAAGTGTTAGTGAAAACATGACAGGAGAGAGCAAACATCCCACCAGAGATAACCAATTGTGCAGTTCTGCTTTGAACAATCTCAGAGCCGTCACAGCAAGAAATCCGTGCATGCATGTGCTTGGCACACAGTGGGTGTTTGGGAAAGTGATGGAATCCGATGGATAGAATATGAAGGATGATTTACATGTGGCTTCGGCTACTTCAAAAACCTATACCTTGACAAAGTCCTTGCATTCTAAATGGAACCACACTAGTCTTCACTGTTATGGAGGGAGATATGTGAGATTACACATATTTATACAAACAACTCAGAAACTGCAGAGAGATAAAAGACAGTTCTTGCAACAATCTCTAGCAACAGAGCAGGTGCTAAATAAATCTAATTTCTCTTACTTTGATAGTGGTAATTATAATAAAATCAGTTTACAGAGCTGAATGTTTACTTATTCACCGGGGAGGGCATGTACCAAAGTATTAAAGTAAAAAGGAAGGGGACAGTTTTGGTTGCTGATTAGCAGGATAAAGTCTTAGTGACCATAGGTCCAGAAAAAGAGTCACACCTGAGGTTTGAATTGAAAATATGACCACAATCAGGATATGTTGTTATGTTTCCCAGACACAACAGGAATTGCTTTGTGAAAAGACAAATTCACAACATGCAGTGACCTCCTATTTGGAAGTAGTTTCCACTATATGTTTTAAAACTCCTACATAAAAACATCTCACTTTCTCTCTTTCTTTCTCAGCTAACCACATAGTGGGAGTAGGAAAGACATTCCATTCCACTAGCAGGCAGACTTTTTCAATTTGTGATTGTTTTAAGTTATTAAGGAGAACGGTGGCTGCGTTAATGTGGTAGCTAGACCAGTCATTAAAATACTGATCATCAACATGTATTTTTTTCTGTTCTGAAAACTTTATACAGACAGATTTTCTTCTAGGTCTCCTCTTTCTTCACATTCACATTCAACCACACTTTGAGTGTGTTTGTTTAGTCTTGGTATCACTGTTGTCGAGCATTACAGGACAATATCCTACTATCAGCTGACACTTTGACCACACAAGGCTTCAGATCTCTTTAAGAGTATAACCAAAACTTTATGGTCCCCTTAAACTTCTCCCTGCTCTAATATAGTGACTATTCCTGATATAGTGACCCTACTATAGTGACCACACTATTATTGCAGATGTTTGAATTCAAACACCAAGAATCCTAAGGTCCAATTAGTTCCCAAATCCTCCCTCTCTTCCCTTTTCCTGTCTGCAATCCATTCTATTCACATTCTATCCACAATTACTTGCCCCGAGACACTTACAAAACCTCCTAACACATCTCAGGCTTCAGATGCTCTCCACTCTAATGCAACCTAATGCTGGTGCTAGAATGTTCTTGGAAAACATGAGACAATTTTTTCCTCAAATGACTTCAATGCTTCTGACTATAACCAGGAAAACACAGAAACATTTAAAATCCAAGGTCTTCCTCAGCCTAAAACATAAGGTTCCAGAACAAAGTCATACAATCCTTTCTCTATCCTCCAACTCAAACCAAAACTTTCTCCCCAAATTGTACTTGGTTGTGTATATTTCACGGTTTTGTTAAGCATAGTTCTAGTCAAATAGTAGGAAGTAACCAGTGGTCGTCCAACTTAGAATCTGAGGGAGGGAAAAGTTGGTACATGCTTTAAACTCTTTCACCTTTTCTGAATCTGTGAACATTTTCATCATCATACTTAAAAACATGAATGAATCTCATGGGAGCTGGCTATCTGCTTCCCAAAGACCATAGAGTTACATGATATGCCAACAAGTCTTGAGAGACACATAAGGAGAATGTAATCTCAAAAGGAAAGAAGGAAGGGATAGCTCCAGGTATGCTTGAGTACTTTTGATCAGTAACCAACTCTACGCAATTTAAAGATGACCACTATGTAGCATTAGACTACAGAGAAATAGATAAGAGGCACGCCCCAACTGCACTAGAAAAATAAGATGCTAAGAATTCGCTTTTGCAAACTAAAGCAACATCATTATTTTAGGTTGAATGCAATTGTAAAGAGTGAGAAGATCTGGAAGCAAATCTTTTTGTATAAAGTTTTCTGAACAGAATAAATACGTGTTGATGATCAGTATTTTAGTGACTGGTCTATCTACAATGTTAATGCAGCCACAGCTCTCCTTAATACCTCACACAGTCACGTCACTATTCCCTTATTTTGCTTCCAGGTTCTGAGATAAAGCAATAAAAGAAAAGGATCTGATGTGTTAAGACTACACCTGCAACATCTCCCAGGGAAAGAGATCTTAGTACCCTGGTTCCAGCTCAGCTATACTTAGGAGCCTAACATAAGTCTATTTAAGTCTATTTCTACTTGACTCTTTGAATTTGTAAATCACAGCATAAAAATTCCAACTCCATCCTTGACTTGTTCTAGAAAAATAAAGCTCTTTTCAGCTTTCTATCCACTCTCTCAAGCTAATACAATTTTTGTGTGGTGGTTCTGGGGATGGAATCCCGGGCCTCCCACATGCTAGGTTACAGCTGTCACTCCCCAGGCCTCTCTCTTTCAAAAACACAAATATTAATGACTCTCTGTTCTACAGGCACCTTTATGAAAATCTTCCCTACCTAAGTTGTTTCGAGTGTTCTTCAGTCCATGAAAACTCCATATTATAAAACCATTGGAACTGTTAACCTAAAATAGTGATATTTGCTCTTTAAACCAGACCATCATATTTCCTATTAAGAATAGATCATTAACTATTCACCTTGGGCATTTGGGTGTTAATAAAAAGGTATCTGAGGCATGATCTACTCTCTCCCTCTCTTACTGTCTTGCTTTGTGCAGAGGAGGACACCAGTTTTCCCTTAACAAATCATACACTTCCAAAAACAAACACATATTCATTAACAAAATCGAGTCACGCTGTTGCTGCTTGTTCTAATTTTTTTGTAGGGCATCAGCTGGTAAACACAGTAGGCTTTCTTAACACTTTTAAATCACTCAAACTGTCAGTCAAAGCCCACTTATTTCTCAGGCTATAAAATCAGCCCAGTAGAATCCCACTGAAAATTGGTTTATAAGCTAGATTCTTATATATTGTGAAACCAATTATGTCCCTCCCAAGCAATCAACTCCCATAAAAGGTGAACGAAACAGCTTCTTGCCAAGAAAACTACCATTAAGTTATGAAGGGTTACCACTGTATTTCTACTACTGGAGCGCACACACATCTACACCTTGACAACTGCACAGATTTTCATATACCAGTAAAAGCCAGGGCACTGCACTTTTCCAAAAGGATCACAAGTCTCTTTTTGAACAACTTTCTTAATAGATTTTTTCAAGTTAATAAAACTTGTTCTCCTTTACTTTTAAAATTCTCTGTTCTTATTCATCACATGCACACACATGTGCGCACGTGCACACAAACGGACCCAAACCAGCACTCAGTTATTAAGTTTAAAGGAAACATGGGGCATAAGTCCTTTTTCTGCATTCAATGAGAAATTGAATGTGTTGAGGAAAGGAACGTCATTAACATCACCCAAGTTGTGCTTACGGTAGCCAGCACTCCAGCACAGAGTAGTCAAGCTCCAGCATCCAAACAGTTTCCACCGGAACCCTCTGGGACTGCAGGGCAAGTTGAGGATGGAAAGGTGACTGCCCAGGAGTCATGGGTAACCACAATGATGTATGGCCAGAGTTTCAAACGTTGCCTATTCTCTCCTCACCACAGCCTTTATCATTAATCATAACTCATAAGGAAAATTACCTTCCACTGAAAAGTCAGGCACTGCCCAGGGCGGACTTTCTATATGTTATTTATATTCTTACTGTAACAATTCTGGATGTGGAAAGAAAAACTTGTCATTACCTTCATCCTTCAGAACAGGAGCCTCAGGTTTGGTGAGCTTAAGTAACTTATCCAAGGTCACCAACTAAAAACCGAAGGCTTCAGGGGGTCAGACCTGGGTTTTAGCTGTACACAAGAAAAAGCCAGTTTTTCTCTAGAATCAAGCAGACTTGCCAGGACTCAAGGATCGACTCCGCTCAGCAGGGACCTGTTTCCACTTGTTCCCCTTACAGGGTTCTCTCCTAACCCTACATTCCAAGAATCACCATCGCCTTCCTTCTGGGCTTTCCCTCTTTCCCTTAAGCCTCGGATCCTGGGGGGCAAATTTAAATCTAAAGCACTTTCCAATGTCCCTACTCTCAATTCTCTCCCCTGAAGTCAAAAATCACCTTTAGAGAGGCACCCAGGCAGGGAGAAGAATGAGCCTTTTCCCTGCACCCCTGTTCTAGCACAGAGGACAGAGGGCAGTGCAGCTTGGCGTTCTTCAAAAAGGGCTGCTGGAAATCGCCTTCTGGCCTGGAAGAACCGAGCTGCGACCCCCTCTGGAGCCTTCGGGAGAGACCCGGGCTGGACAAGCCTACAGCATCCCCACTGCACCACCTTGAACATTAGGCCACCTCGCCCGACTTCACTCACAGCGCTGTTCACCTCTGGTTGCTGAAGGCTCCTGCGCCCCGTGTCCGGGAACCGGGGAACACAGGCGAGGTCCTCCTGCAGCGCTGCTGGATGCGCGAACAGCTGGCAGCGCTCACGCCGGGCTAACGACGGCGCTGGGAGGGGCGCGCTGTGCGCATGGACCCAGATGGCCAGCTGGCGGCGGCTCCCCAGCCGGGCGGGAGTGGACCATCGGAGTACTCTGCACAATGCCAGTTTTAAAAAGTTCTAGACTCACGTGACCAGACCTGTCTCCACCTCTTGATTCCAGAAACCTGATGACATCAGGTCAGCACTTTCTATCCCCAAGTGGCAAACAGCCCCAGGGTGGCATCTTAAAAATTAACAAAGAAAGCTTAGTCAGGTTGCTGAATGGTTTGGTTTGTTCCTTTCATTGTTATGTTTTTATTTTCTCTCCCACTTTTTAAAAGGTACTATCTCAGAATTTTTGAAATTACTTCTCTATCTATAAGCCTGGTATTTGCCAGGAAACTATGTAGTTTTTTATTTCTTTTTTAAAAAACTTAACATGCCTTCATTGGTCAGCCACCATCCAGTCTCACTAATAGTGAGCAAATGCTAATGTGCCGAGAGCTATTCTCGCATTATTGCACTGGAATCTTAGAGCACCCTTATGTGTTCTGTCTATAATCATCCCCATTCTGTAAGTGGAAAACAGACTTAGGCTAGGAACCTCTTCAGGCTCATGTCATTTCTAAGTGCATGTTAACCACCACCACCAGGTGCTGGGTACTGAATCTGACCACAGGCCCAGCAGGATGGAAAGAGGCAAGGGTGTGCCATGGTAAGGAGATCAGACAAAATCAGGCCCGGGCATCATTGCCAGAGGCCGCAGCAACACCTGGGACACAAGGGAGAGGCCCTTGCACTGCTTCCAGTCCTGGCTGCACGTTAGAGACCAGGCAGCACCAGCCCAGCCAACCCACCAACCAATGGGAAAAAAATCATTACTGTTTTAAGCCATTTTCAGTCCTGGGTAGCTTGTCATGTAACTAAGTCTATATGAAGCACCAGCTTTGCAGCCTGAAACAAATTAATGTCACTGAATCTCTCTTTTCTGCTGAGTACCTACCTGCTTGGTTGTTGTGAGGACCAGATGAACAACATGTAAAACTGTAGTCAATGCAGCCATCACTTGCCAACATAATTATGCATGGAAGTGCTTCCCATCCACTTGCCTCTCTATGGAGAAAAATTTGTGGTGGGGAAAAAAAGTTTTTTTTCTTTAGGGCCAAGAACAACCCACCTTTAAAATTTGGAGGGCCCCAAGAATATAAATAAAGGTCCATAAGCCACATGCCTAAATACTGCAGTTACCAGCTAAAGTTAACAAAGTATTAGATATTGTAGATTCTACCTTTCTGCCCTAACAGACACACCTTTGTAATGATGAAAGGCCAAGTTCAAACTCCCGGATGTTCTGTACTTAACATGTTCTGTGGAGCAGAAAGCTGGTTTCCAGCTCCGGGCCTGCAGCCACCTCTCCCTCCCTCCGGGCACCAGCCCACAGGTGGAAGCTCAGTCTGACTTGTCAGAAGGAGCCACACCAAACACCTCTTGAGCCCACAGTAAGAAGAACAGAGGGAACACTGTCTGCCCGTGGGAACGTAGTCATTGGGAGACAACACAGTTGCTAGTGTGGGGGACATTTGAAGCAGGTCCAGTGCCACTTGGGAAGAGAATTTGATGATCCTGAATCCTCAGAACAAGGTTTGGGGAGGTACGCTTTGGGAATGAGGGACACAGCCCACATATTCCCATAGACCCTCACACTACTGCAGGGAGTGCAGCCTTTTAAGACGCAGAAGTAGAAGGTTTTTAGTATGTTGGCCCTGGAAAAGCTCCTTTGGAGCTAAATACAAATGCAGCTACTAGCCAACCATACTTATGTCCCAAATGACGCCTGTTCAGGGGAAACCAAGACAAATTTAAAGTCAACACAGAATGAACACATATTTTAGCATTTTTCTTTAAAAACAGGGTGTATCAAAAATCTTACTGAAATATTAATAACCTCAGAGGAACAAATGTAGCAATTTACAAAAGCACCATTTGAAAGCTTAAATTTATTTCACAGTCATTTCGTTTTGCAAATGTTAAATAATGCATTTTCATTTTAATTTTTGTTTCAGTTCCCTTGAGTGAAAAATGGCATATATTCACTAAAAGAAAAAATACTTTTATTAAAATACAGTCATTATGCAGTGCATTGTGTAATTATGTCAACAATGGTCCTCATATACAATGGTAGCCCCATAAAAATATAATGGAGCCAAAAAAATGCCTGTTGCCTGGTAACATTGTAATGTCATAAAGAAGCATATGATTCATGTGTTTGTGGTGACGCCGATACAAATAAATCTATTGTACTACCAGTCATATAAAAGTATAGCATATACAATTATGTATAGTATATAATATGTAATAATGACAATAAAATTATGTTATTGGTTTAGTGTATCTTATCACTATTTTAGAGTGAATACATACTATTTTAAAGTACATTTAGAGTATATACTTTTTTTTGGAGGCAGGATGTCACTATGCAGTTCAGGTTGACTTTGAGCTCACTTTGTAGTCCAAGCTGGTCTCAAACTCATGGTAATCCTCCTGCCTTGGCCTCCAGAGTTCTGGGATTACAATCATATGCCACCACACTCAGCTATACTCCTACTTTAAAAGATTTCTTCTGTAAAAAATGTGCCATCTTAAATTGGTAGCACTTCATACATCTTGTGTTTCTTGCATCTCCTGATGCATCATTTTCTCCATGTGTGATTTAATCTCGAGTTGTTTTGTTCATCGTGACTCCTGAGCATATATATTCCACAGCCAGTGTTGCCCATAAGAGGTCATGTCATGATTGGCCTGGAGACACAATTAAAAGTGATTAAGGGCTAAAAGGTAGAAAATCAGTAATGGTCATTACATGCCAGTCAGGCATGTCCCATTCCTCCATAGCTATGATCTTGAACACCAAAGTGACAGAGGCAGTTAAAGGATCTGTGTCATTGAAGGAAATAAGACAAAAATGCAAGAAGGACCTATATCAAACAACTTTAAATGACCTGGACTTCAGACTGGACATGAAGGCACATTCCCATCAGCACCATAGTAATAACGGCCGAAGTAAAAATACTTGTGTGATGTTGAATTGCTTCTGTGTTGAATTTCCTGCTAGCTAATGTGAAAGTGAGAGCTTGTGAGAGCTGATGTGGAGACAGCTGAAGATCTTTGAGAAATTCTAGATGGGCTAAATTTCAGATAAATTTTAGATAAGGTGATTGTGGAGGAAAAGTTTTTTCTAGAACAGATCTTCCATATGAATGAGATGTTTTTGCTCTGGAAACAAATATCTGAAAAGGACTTTCATTCATATGGTGGTCAAGTCAGTAGCAGGTTTAAGAGCCCTTAAGGACAAGACAACAGTTTTGTTGGGATCAGTGCTGTAGGCTGTAAATTGAAACCCTTTGTGATAGAGTACTGTAAGGTGCCAAGGCCTTCAAGCCGATCAATGAGTACACACTTTGTGTCATAAAGTCATGGATGATCCTGGTCTGCCTCCAAGATACCCTGCTGAACACCTATGCTGGAGGAAGAGAACAGGACTGCTTGTAGCAAAATACACCTTCCCAGATCTTGTTCATTTTTGATAATGGTCCCACACATCCTTATTTTACTATCATCATTCTAATAGTACAGTGTTTTTTCTCCCTCTATGCATCCCTTCTTTGATCCATTCAGTGGATCAAGAAATTATGGTGGCTTTTAAGGCCTTTGAAATGAGGAGGCATTCTGCCCAGGCTAGTATGTGGCCAAGGAAGATGATGACACCTTTTTGGAAAGATGACAGTATCATCCTATATTAGAATTTTTTGTATTCAAGATCCTATGCTAGACATTTAAAAAAGAAAAGACAAAAGAAATAGTCTTCTTTAAGAAACTTTCATTTCAGCTAATGAGGTAGTAATGGAGATATATAAATTGATCCCACAATACAAAATGCTAAGTGCTATACTTGGAGCCAATAAAGAATGCCCTGGGATCAGACAGCAGGGAACAAGTCCCTTCCTAAAGAACCAGGGAATCTCACTAGAGATAACAGGAAGCTGGCACTGAAAAATGAAGAGCCACTGTGGGCAAAGGTATCCTCTCTGGCCAAGAGCTTGTCCTGGGTCCTTGCCATTCTGGGAAGGATGACTCAAGGAGAAGGTATCAGGGTAAGGTGAGCAAAAATTCAACTAAAACTGAGGTTAAGAAGATTAGACTGGGATAACTTGGAAAGAGCTGTGAGGGCTGACGTTATTCAGAACTGGCAGAACTGGCAGATTGGGAGATATATCTTCTTAAGTAGAATAGAACAGATCAAACTATAGAACAGAACAAGTATGTTACTCTCCCATGGCTGTGGTAAAAAGTGCAAAATCTGAGCAGTTCTAAACAATACAGTATTGTTTTTCAGTTGTGGAGGCTAGAAGTCTGAAATTAAGGTACTAGCTGGACCATGATCCCTCTGAAACCAATCGAGAAAGATTTTTCGTGCCTCTTCTCATGTCTGGTAGCCCCAGACATCCCGTGGCTTGTGACAGCATCACTCAGATCTCTGCTTCAAATATACACGGTCTCGATGTCTCAGCCTGTGAGTATACCTTTCTCCCTGTCCCAGAGTCCCCTGTTTACAAAGACAGCAATCACATAATGGCCTCATTTTCACCTGATCACCTCTGTAAAGACCCTATTTAAAAAAAAAAAACTCACATTCAGTGATACTAGAAATTAGAATTTATGTATAATATATAATTCAACCCAAGGCAGTAAGAAAGAAAATACCATAGTAAATAATGTTTCACAAAGTTTCCTGTTTCAGTTTGCATGTATGTGTGATGGTCATTGTACTTTCCATTGACTGCCAAATTTTACCACAAATGTAAGTGTATGAAAAGCAATGCACATTTGTTATCTTACAGTTCTGAAGTCAGATTTCTGAAATGAAAGTGTCAGCAAGGCTGAATTTCTCCTGAAGAATCCAGAAGAGGATCTGATTCTTCACTTTTCCGACCTTCTAGAAGCTGCCCACATTCTTTGCTTCTTGGCCCTTCTTGCCTTGCACCACCCTCTTGCC